TGGGCGAGGAGTGGCCCGGATTTCTGATGCCTTGCTTCAGCTCACCTGCATTAACTGTGTGCGAGCAGTCATGAACTCCCACAAAGGCATTGAATACATTGTGAGCAACGAGGGCTACGTCAGAAAACTCTTCCAAGGTGAGAAGACATCTTCCTGCTTCACCCATCGCATGTGGCATGGGGGGAGAACTTTTCTGTTGCTTATCCTCCTGCCCTGCACTAGGCTTGCAAGCTGTTGATCGCAACTGTTCAGTGAAAGACATTGTTTTCTTTAAGCTATTGCAAAAAATTGCATGGAAATGGCATTGCCTTTGCCACTCAATGCTATTTAGATGGGCTCATTTCCACACAGATGTCTTCATAGTTCACAGAGAAGCCAGGGATAAACCCAGCCTTAGCTGTATGCGGGCATGAGAAGTCCTTGACCCTTCAGTTGTCAGCAGACATTTGCTGTTTGGTCTTTCTGAGCCCTTAGGGCAGGAGAAGGGGAGCTGAAAGGACTTGGAGTCTTGTAGCCTGTAAAGAAGAGAGAAGGTGGCATGTCTTAGACTCAAGAGAGATTGTTCTCTGCGCTGCTTGGTCTGTTCCTTCTAGAAGATGCTAGGTAATACCACTCACTTTCTCCTGCCATTCACTTGGCTCATTGTTAGGTATGAAAGTCATCAAGGCATCTCCTAGGATTTATTGTACAGCACTTAATGATGATGGTGCTGGGAGGATAACTTCTGTGCTGCTCCACAGAGCTGAGATCACAGCTGCGCCCAGTAACCATTATTAATAGCTCTTTAAAATGCATTTAGTCTGAAAGCTAGCTTGCTCCCCTCTTCAGTTTTGAAGTCCTCTTCCTTCCTTTCCACCCTGTATTTTCTCAACCAGTGTGAAATATAGAGCTGGCATTTTTCTGCTGTGAAAAACAGGGGGGTACCCTGGGCTTTTCAGTAGTCAAGCTTCTTTGTGCACTGATAAAGGAAAAATAAGATGGTCTAATCCACTCCTCCCAGCTCCCAGGGCTCTCAGAGAAAGAGTAGTGGAAAAAGGGAATACATGGGGACTGTTTAGAACAACTGGCCTACTTGATATGCATATTGGGTGTTTCTGCACTAAAAATAAGACTCATTAATTGAGGAAAATGGTTCATCTGCTGTTCTAGAAAATACCCATATGTGAAAAGTGGAAATAAAATGTGTGATTGTGAGTGCTGACACCTTGGCTGCTGTTGCAGCACGCCGCTGGTACGTGGAAGAGATGAACACATACAAACTGGACCAAAATGCCGATAGGGTACCTGAACTAGCATTTGCTGTTCCCACTAGCAGTTACCACCAGATATTGCTATTAGGATGGAATATCTATAAATTGAGATATCTTTCTTTCTATCCTCCACATACTGGCTCCAGTCCTTCAGTCTTTTTGTACAACTGGTCATAAGCCATGTAGCAGGAGACACTGAGATTCAGAACATTAATGTGTCATTATAAATCCTTTTTTGTTTTTTTTTTGTTTCTTCTCCAGCACTTGACACAACTAACGTTATGGTCAAAAAGCAAGTATTTGAGCTCCTGGCTGCACTGTGCATTTACTCATCAGATGGCCACGCTTTGGCTTTGGATGCCCTGGACTATTACAAGGCAAGTGTAGGGCTGCAGCAGGATGTACTGCTCTGCTCGGATGTATGCAGCTGGATCCATGTACCACAGAAAAGGGCTGAAAATGAAGGTCATTTTGCTTCATTTTGTTAAGAGAGGCAGGAATTTAAAAGGTGACGTCTGTAGGAGTTTTGGCCTGGTCAGCAGAAGCCCATGGTACTGCTCTGTGAGTTGTCTGGGCAGATGACTGCCAACCATAAGGTTTCTTCTGGCAAAAAAAAGCGCTACCAGTTCAGCAAAATGGATGGTGTCACATCCATGGGTTTCACTGGCCGCAATGCCAGGTATGTGGCTCAGTTATCAGAAAGCATAAAGGGATCCAAGAAGAGTTTCACTGACCTTCTCTGCTGACCAGATCCTGCTCCATGATGGAGAAGTGCTGCTTTTACCTATATCTTTCTGTCTTGTGCACAGTGGGATAAACTGAGAGGTTTTAAGATGCTAATTCCATCTGAGAGCCTGCACCAAAGTGGTAGATGTTTCTGAGCTGTCTGAACAGAAATATCACTTGTGTTATTAACAGAGTGTGAAGAACCAGCAGTATCGATTCAGTGTCATAATGAACGAGCTCTCCAACACAGATAACGTGCCATACATGGTGACACTGCTGAGTGCTATCAATGCCATCATACTGGGGAAAGAAGAGCTAAGAACAAGGGCACAGATCAGAAATGAGTTCATAGGTAAGGACGGTTGTTGCATCTAACTTTCTCCAGAGAAAACCAGTTGTGAAGCAGTTTTCTTTTCAGATGTATCCGTAAGATGACTAGAGAGGGCTGGGGAGCAAAACTGCAAATATTAAAGGCAGACTCCTTTTTCATTTGTCTTTTGGTCTCTATTCTTTTTAACAACCTTGCTGCAACCAGATTTTTTTAACTTTGCTGCTTTCCCATAGCTTTGTTCTTTTGTAGAATCCCAGCAGCATTGTATCGCTTGAGCTTCTTCAATACATTTCTATAATGAACCATCTTATGGGGCCACATTTCCATATGTTAGAACTCCTCATAAGAGTAGATAAGGTTTCTTTGCCCTGTGTCTACTCAGTGTAGCCAGAGAAACTGCCCTGTGATTCAGAAATGCTTTCCAACTGCTTGAATACTGGGGTCCTAGGTACCGTTGTTAGGCTTCACCTGATGTAATGCGTGCATCTGAGCCGGTGAGCGTGGGCTCTGTTTCTCTCTGTGGAAAGCGAGGGACATTTCACAGCACTGTTCATCTGACCGATTTTAGATGTCTAATTTGGAACGAGGTGGCTTGTGCCCCAGAAGTGGCTGTTGCCCTCAGTAACTCCAGGGGGATGCTGCAGTGGTTCACACAGCTGCACACATGTACCATGGGTCTCTTCATTTCCCAGATGACCCTACCCACTTTGAAAGATCCATCTGAAGATATTTTCACTATTTCTCTCTGCAAAAAGTGGTTATGAGCATTACGTTATATAAAGATAATAATAGATCAGTGCCAAGTAGGTCATAATGCCAATATATATGTACTTTTGTCCTTCCAGGGCTTCAGTTGTTGGATATCTTAGACAAGCTAAGGTAAGGATCACTGTTAATACTTTCTTTATAAATGGAATTCACAGTAACGTAGCTATGCAAACTTAATACTTACCAGCCTTCAGTTGTGTGAGTTGAAGTATACCTGGGTGGAGCGGACCATGCTAGTGTGCACCCATTATGCGGGAATCGGAGGCATTAAGCTGGCGTTAAGATGCTGTTGCCAACCGCAGTGTCACAGGGACAGCTGTTGGTGCAGATGGCATTGACAAAGGCTCTGGGTACAGATGGAGCAAGGCTCAGCAGCATTCTCGTGGAGGCTGTGTTTCAGACTGAGCCCAAAGTAATGGTATGGGGTCACTGAGCAGCTTTCTGTGTTCAAAACCTCTTCGCTGCTGGTGTTGGTCCCAGAAGCATCCAGCTAAGACACTTCACTAACACATATCTGGGCATACCCAGCTTTGCAGTTTCTTGATTTAAAAATGATGTTCTGTCAGAAACACCCATGATAAATTCTAGAATGTGTTATATGTGAGTTGCAGTTATCCATGTAACTGGAATTGGTCCGTTCAACCCCATAAAGATAAGGGAAGAGAAGATCTTTCAATACTGCCAGTTACCAAGGGTAGAGATCCTCCACTGAATGGTGTTGAGTGCTGAAAAAGTTGATTTTAGAGTGTTTGAGCTTATTTTAATCCAATTTTGAGTAACAAAGAAGGAAGTTCTTCAAACAGAAATGTCATTGGAATATTTTCAATTTGTTTTCACTTTAAGAAAAATAAAAAGAAGAAGGTGGCCCAGTTTCAAACAGGTGGAAATGCCACTCTGTTGTTACAGCTCTAAGGAGAAGTCATACAAAGCTTACACTGGGCCAGGTCATGCCATGAAAAGTTGCATTCATTTGTACGTGTCGACTGTAGAAAGAGGTACATTCAGTTCAAGAAAGGATGCACTGATGGCATTTGATCCTATATAAATAAGGTAGAGTTGGGTACTTTCAACACAAACTGGCTGAGTCTGAGAGGCAGACATAAAAGCCATTTAAACAAAAACAATTCTCTGAAAATCACTGAAGGGCTCTCCAGCAAAAATGAATGCTGTAATATTGCAGAGACATAGAGGAGGAGGATCTGCTTATCCAGTGTGATACATTTGAGGAGTTCAAGATAGAAGATGATGAGGAATTATTAAAGATATGTGATGGGATAAACATGAACGATCATCATGAGGTCTTTTCATCTCTCTTCAATAAAGTAAGTAGGCCCTCACGTGGGGCACAAAGTCATGCAATGGCAAAGTTAACACACTTTGCTTGGAACCAGTCTTGCTGTGATGAAAAGCTGCCCTGTCTTCCAGGTGAGCCGCTCTCCAGTCTCCATCCAGCTCCTGTCCATCCTCCAGAGCCTGCTGCACTTGGAACCATCTCATGACTCCAGCCTCCTGCTGTGGGAGTCCTTGGACGCAGTAGTGAACAGAGCCCTTTTGCTCGCAAATGACAGTAAGAATGACATAACCATCCAGCCTTGCACTGTCCTCTTGTTTTCCCTTGTCTCACCCACTGCCCACAAAAGTCCTTCCCAAATGTGCAGAAAATAATTTATGGGACTTGCTAAGAGCTGAACAGAAGCTGGGACAAAGCTACACCTGCTGCATGGGGTCGAGTCTTGATGTGAAGCCCCAGCCATACAGATACCAGTGAGAGCTGACCACGTTTAGCAGTGTGCTTGGGATTCATGGGCTTGGGATTCATGGTCTTGCTTTGATGGTTAAGCTCTGAACTTTGGGTCATGGGAGTCAGTGGGAGTCTGTCCTTGTTGGCATCCCGCCGCTGGTGTTGGCTAGTCTTGCTGGCAGGCATGCTCAAAATAGTGTTTGTGGGCCAGGAGTGTGGGAAGGAAATTGCCTGGAAGCTAAAAGTGCAGTTAGGTAAAGTGACACCAAGGAGTGGCCTCTGTGGTTCCAGATCTTGTGCTTGGTGAGGGTTGTGTGCCCTGGCTGCCAAGAAAGCTAGTGTGATCCTGGGGTGCATCAAGAAGAGCGTGGCCAGCAGGACGAGGGAGGTTCTCCTTCCCCTCTACACTGCCCTGGTGAGGCCTCATCTGGAGTACTGTGTCCAGTTCTGGGCTCCCCAGTTCAAGAAAGATGAAGAGCTACTGGAGAGAGTCCAGCGGAGGGCTACGAGGATGGTGAGGGGACTGGAGCATCTCCCCTACAAGGAGAGGTTGAGGGAACTGGTCTTGTTCAGCCTGAAGAAGAGAAGGCTGCGAGGGGACCTTATAAATGCCTACAAATATCTGAAGGGTGGGTGTCAGGAGGATGGGGCCAAGCTCTTTTCAGTGGTGCCCAGTGACAGGACAAGGGGCAATGGGCACAAACTGAAGCACAGGAAGTTCCACCTGAACATGAGGAAGAACTTCTTCCCTCTGAGGGTGACGGAGCAGGTTGGACTGGATGACCCACAGACGTCCCTTCCAACCCCTACCATTCTGTGATTCTGTGATTCTGTGAATAGCACGAATCAACCTATGGGCCACACCCCCTTCTCTAACCCCGACTCATTTCTCTAGTCCAAGGGAACACAGTTGAAGAAGTCATTGAGAGGCTGCTGTCTATCAAGAAACATCCAAACAAGCAAAAGCGAGCTGAAAACCGGCTGTCTGGCAGTGCAAATGGAGGTGTCCAGGCTGAGCTAGAGCCATGCACACGTGCAGCTCAGAGCACAGCGTGTTCATCAAACCCCTCCAAGGCATCAGCACCTCCCTCAGGGCCACCTGCCAACGAAAAGAAGATCTTGTCCTCCCAGCTCACAGCCTGCTGTGCTTCACCGGAGACATCTAACCCTCCACCCAACGCTGCTCCTGACCCAGCGCCTCCACCCCCACCACCTTCACCCCCGCCCTCTGGCACTGCAGCCGTGACCCCCACATCCCCTGTGTTGAATGCACCTCCAGCCCCTCCCCTCCCTGTAATCCCACCTCCTCCCCCTCCGTTGCCCACCATGGGGGGCATCCCACCCCCTCCACCTCCATTGCCTGGATTGGGGGGCAGCCCTCCACCCCCACCTCCATTGCCTGGCATGGGGGGCATCCCACCCCCTCCACCTCCATTGCCTGGCATGGGGGACATCCCTCCACCTCCACCCCTCCTGCCTGGCATGGCGGGAGATCATATAGAAGCTGTGGTGGTCTCCCAGCTCAGCTGCCCTCTTGGCTTGGGCAGGCCTCCCCGCAAGACAGTGAAGACGCCAACGTTGAGAATGAAGAAGCTGAACTGGCAGAAGCTGCCCTCCAACGTGGTGAGAGGTGGGTGCTTCTGGAGTAAAGTCACTGCTGCTTTAAGGGTAACCCAGAGGAAAAAACACTGTCTCTGAATTTATCAAATGTGGTTTACTCCATTTAGATACAGAACTTCCCTGATTTCCATTACATCTGACCTGCAGAGCTTAAATAAATAAAAGTGGCATGAAACTACTAATACAATATAATAACCATTCCAACCAAATCAGTAGTTTGGAATAGCTTGTTTATAACTAAAATACTTTGAAATTAAAAGAAGGGGGAAAGGATGGAAATATTTCCCTAATCCACCATGACATGCCTTAGGCTTGAGTTCTCAACAGGCCCTGATCTGGGTTCCCCAAACTTTCATTCTCCAATTTCTCTATACTTGCATCTGGGTATATTAAAGTAATGAATTAGAGTGCAGGTAAGGATCACATCACAGTTCTAGAAGGACATTGAAAGAATTGGAAAGCCATGAGAATCATTGACTTGTCTGTTGATTTTTGGGTTACATTTCCCTGTCCTAGTGGATTCAAAGAGAAGCATGAAATGTGAGAAGAAGCCGGGACAGGCAATGTCAGCTTTGTCCTAAACAAGCAAGGCATCCACTGCATGGAAGTTGCCATAGTTGAAGTCTAAATAAGTCATGTTTTCAGTCACAGGAATAGTTAGTTAATTGTTGAGATTGTTTCAGTAGAGACTTCTACAGGCATGTTTGGATGATGGGGTTTTTTTGAAAAAAATATGTTTAAGAAAGTGCAGTGGGAATTAGTTCAAGCAGTCCTATAGCCAACATTATGCAAGGAGGCTTCATTATAAAATGAAAAATGTAGGAAGGTCACAGTCAGAAAATGTCCAGGTTGTGGCCAATCCTTCAGCTAGCATGCAAGGAAGCAAAAATAACATCAACCATGGGACAGGGAAAGAAATGACTGAGACCCTGCTCACGCTGACCTGGTTTGCCTACCATGGAGGAGAATGCAGTTGCAGAGGGAGGGATGGGGCCGTATGGCCTCTGTGTGCCCAGTGCTGCATCCCCTTATCAGCACATCTTGGGGTAGAGCTTCAGTTACCCTTCAAGCCCTTTGAATCCTGCCTGTGGGAATTGCCCCTCTTAAACAATTAGCATTTGTTCAGGACTAACATATCTCTTCTTATTTCATGCATCTTCTGAGAAGTCTCCCTTCTAGCAACTCACATTGCCCCAAAAGCCAGGAGCTTTCAGCTGTCCCTGTAGCCAGTCTGAACACCTTCTCTTTTTTCAGAAAGTCACTCCATGTGGGCTTCAGTGAGCAGCAGCAGTGAGGAAACTATAGAGCCCAACTACACAAGCATAGAGCAGCTGTTTTGCTTTCCACAACCAACCCCCAAGGAGAAAACAGCCACACCGGTGAAGGCAGAACCGAAGGAGGTGAGGAGGTCCCTCTCATTCTTTCTCATAAAGATCACTGGAGACAGCTCATCTAATACGAGATATCTTCTTTTTCTTTAATGAAGATCACATTTTTGGACTCCAAGAAAAGTCTCAATTTGAACATATTTTTGAAGCAATTTAAATGGTAAGATACGGCCAATTTTCGTGACAGTTGACAAAACTTTGAGCAGGTTTTGCATAGCATCTGGAAGGTCCTCATGAAATCTATTTTAGCCAATGTGCTTTGGTGGTCTGTGTTACTGAAACATCTGAACATTTCCCAATTTGCCCTATACTGTCTTTAACATACTGGGTTTAGGCGTTTAATTGCATTTTTACCTACAACATCCCTGTATGTTGGAAAAGGTGTTACATGCCCATGTTACAGATAAAGTTGTGGCACAAACTCTTAGGGTGACTTAGGCTATGAGACACCTCTGGAGGTCGAACCCCTCCTCAAAACAGGGCCAATGGAGATGTTAAGAATTGTGGGTTTTTTTTTTTTGAAGTTAATCAAATGCCCAGAGAGAGTCATCTGAGTTACAGGGTTGATCTCTGGCCTTGAGTCATTTGACCAGGGCCAGAAACAAAATCTGGGGCATGGCAGGGATCCAGGTCCCAATTCTGAGTTAATCACGGGGACATATCTTTCCTTTTGGATTACTGTGGCTCTCACTAGGGAAAGCACAGAGCACTTGCACAGATCTGTGTCTCGATAGCATGTGACTGTGGAAGAGGGGTCTTTGGGTGACAGCTGACTCTGCTCCTTCTCCCTGCAGCTCCAATGAAGAGGTGGCTGCCATGCTCCAGAATGGGGACCGCACCAAGTTCGACGTTGAGGTTCTGAAGCAGTTGCTGAAGCTGCTGCCTGAAAAACATGAGGTCAGGAGGCAAAATGGTACCCTTAGTTCACAGAGCTGAACACATGGTGCAGTCATGCAGTCTTGATTCTTTATTTCTCATTAGATAGAAAACCTGAAGGCCTTCAAAGAAGAGAAATCAAAGCTTGCAAACGCAGATCAGTTTTATCTTCTCCTCCTTCAGATTCCCAGGTAAGGGTGTTGGTCAGGAACTCCAGCCCAATCTTTTTTCTGGGTTTACCTCTGGGAAGTTAAAGTTTTTTTATAGAACCCACGCAGACAGATATAGACGGATATAGCTGGTAGATTCCCCCTTCCATCTTACAGGCATCCCTTTCCCCATTACTCCTAGATGAAGGGCTGTTGCTGCTCCAGCACCTCCTTTCCCTCTGAAGCAGCAGAAGCTGGCCCAGACCCAGGGTCAGACCTGCCCAAGGAAGCCCCATAACCTACTGAAAGGCAGTGCCAAATGCAATGACAAGAAGGGGTAACCCATATCTCACACAGTGCTCAGTCTTCTCTTTGCTGATCACAGTGCATTGGCAGAAACTACATCCGCAGTGGTCCCCGAGGCAAGCAGCAGCTCCTCCCCTCCCTCCACAAGCCACAGGCACTGGTTTGATGTGGCTGTGGTTGACAGCCGTGTTGTGGGGTTGCCAGACTTACCAGCGATGTGGGAAGAGGGCGGCTGTGCTGGCCAAGGTCGCAGTGCCTTTAAGCTTTGAATCAATCTCTGTCCCTAGCTACCAGCTGTGCATTGAATGTATGCTGATCTGCGAAGAGACCGCTGTTGTGCTGGACATGATTCAGCCAAAAGCTGAAGCCATCCGGAGGGCCTGCGAAGGTAAATGACCTGACCTTATTTCTGAATCTTGTTTATGACATGAAGCTTTAAACCCCTCAAAGTTCCCGTGGAGCTCTGCAATGATACAGCCCAGACCCCCAGAAAACTCCCCTGTGGTCTGTTCACTGGTTTGCTGCAGAATACAGGATGCAGCTTTAGGTTGCTCTATGGATGGTGAAAGTCCTGAATAGGACTGGAGATCATTTTTCCTCACCCTCAGCCCTCTCTTTCTGTAGCAGATGTATTTCTCTGAAACACTTTCAACAGTGAAGCATTGGAAGCTCATTAGCCCTTTCAAAGAAGCTGAATTTCGACTGCAGAGCTGGCCTCATTACAGCTAATTCATCCAGCACTATTTGTCTCCTTAAGGCCTTCACACAGCAATTTTCTCTGCTGCCAGAAAAGCACACCCCAAACTTCCCCCAGAAAGTAGTGATGCTTTAGTTTTTCCCTGCCTACAAATGGAACAGAAGAAAAAGTTTGTTATTTTGGGCTATAGTTTGCTCATGCTCCAATTTTGTGAATTCATGGAGACATTATGCAATAGCTTTCGCCTTCCTGTGGCAGAAACCTCAGGTCTCACTCCACTGAGAGCAGGATGCTCTTGTGACGCTGCCAAGTGCTGCCTGTCCTATGGAGCCAGTTCCCCCAACTCCTGCCGGGGATTTCCCCAGCTGGCATTACAGATGCCTGCTGGGATAAATTGAAGCTTCCCCCAAAAAGTGTCTTACCAGCAGCCCAGTTGTCCTTTTGGAGCTGTTCCTGCCTCAAAGCTGAGTGCTTCAGAAAGCGCACCACTGCAGCACCCCGTCGTAAGAGCAAGGACAGGGACTGCACCCTTCATGGCCGGATAATCACCTCCACCATGCGAGACCAAGAACAGGGCGAGCGTGTCTGGTTTTAGAGGCTGGCAGATAGTCGCAGGGCGGTCAGAACTGGCTTCACTGCACAGCTGAACGGAGTCTGCAAGATTAAAATTGCAGCCCAGTTACCCTCGCCCACACCAGGGTAAATCTGGGTAATTCCAAGGAAGGCGGCAAGTTGACCGCTATTAGTGAGAAGAGTCCAACTCTAGGTTATTTTCCACTAGGAATGAGAGACGAGATGTAAAGAAAGAAAGAAGCATAAGTCAACAAAAGCTTGTATCCAGCCCAGTTCATGAATCTATTGTAGAATCAGTGTCTCTGTAGATCGTGCCATTGGGCTGAAAACCTGAAATATCAGATTTGGTTTGGTGGAATTCAGAACCCCACCTTCTGTGCAGTTTAGGAAATGTTCTGGTGTATCAGAGGCTTTTGTTTAAAAGTCCTTTATGTTTTTCAGATCTTCTGAACAGTCATCGTCTGCCGCTGTTTTGTCAGCTGATTCTCAAAGTTGGAAACTTCCTGAACTATGTAAGGACTTCTTTTGCCTTGTCCTTCCCCCATTACAGTACATGGATGATCTCCTTTAGGATTGTAATTTGGATGGACATAGGAGTTACGTCTACTTTCTTTCTGTCTTGTAGGGAAGTCACACAGGCGATGCTGATGGGTTTAAAATCAGCACTTTACTCAAACTAACAGAAACCAAAGCAAACCAAACCCGCATTACGCTGCTCCACCATATACTGGAGGTACCACTACCAAGTCCTGGGTGGTAGGGAAGGGGGAGGATTTTATCATGGATGAACCATCTTTCCCGCTCCACTTTTAGTTAATGCCACACACTCATATTTGTGTCTTCCCTGGCCAGCACAGAGTGTCACAAGTTGGGAGCGTTGAAGTCACTTAGGCTAGGGGACGCTGCTTGTGGGCATTACTCAGGGAGCTCTTTATTTGAATACTTTTTCTGCTTTCCTCCAGCATCTTCCCCCACAATGGCTGGAACTTCTTTTTTCGTATTTGTGCAATCTGCACATCATCAGCTGCAAACCACAGAGGCCACCAGAGCTATCCTGGCTGGTCTGTACCCAGTCAGCCCTTCTGCGTATCCATGGCCTCTCCCTTTTCCACCAGACTATGCTCGAGCTTTTCATGCTCCTCTCCAAGCCCCCATGGCTTTCTTATTCCCTGCAATGCTGGGGTTTTTTTCTCCATGCTCAGATCTGCCACCTTCATTCATCAAGGTCCCTCCATTCCAGTCATGCATGTTCAAACCCCACTTTAGCTGGCAGTAGCTTCAGCAACCACAGCCCTGAAAGTAAATTATGCAAATAAGATTCATGCCATTTTGATACTCTTCTGGGACTGTGGGAAGTGTCAGACTGCATCAAACCACAGTCCTGCCTCCTCCCATGGCCAGGAATAGGTGTCTTGCAAGAGGGTAGAAGGAGAGCTCAGCGGCAGGTCAGCTTTACTTTGAACTATGAGTATTTCTCAACGTTCAGCCTCTTGTAGGTTTTTATAGCCTGGGAGCAATGCCTGTCCTCCCAGAACGTGCCATCCTGTTTTGAATGAGGCTCGGCTCTGCGAGGCAAAGCAAATTGCAGAAAGGCAGCAGCAGCAGGACATGGCATAGTAGTCCTTCCCAGGCACTTCTGCCCATGTCTCTTCCTTGCAGCTTCCTCTCAGCTCCCGCTACACAGAAAATAACACTTCTTTCTCTCTTCCACTTTAGGAAGTAGAAAACAGCCACATGGACCTACTGGAACTGCCAAAGGATCTTGAATATGTTTCAAAAGCAGCAGGGTAAAATTGTGTGTCACTTCCTTCAAATTAAAAACAAAAATAAATCCCATACACATCAACAATGTACCAGAAATTAGGAGACATGCAGCTGGTATAGCACATAAACAAGATGGCATCATATTCCGTTTTAACCGAAAGATTGGGTTGATGAATGTTGAAACCCCTTTAACAGAGAATAGTTCTACTACAGCTGGCAACACTTAGGGCTGAAATTTGCAGAGCATTCAGTTAATGCCGCCTCCCAGGCCCTTCCAAAATCTACACTGCCTGTGTGGTAGCAGGAGCTTCTGAAGGCCAGCTACTCAGAGGCATTTCTGAAGAGCCTTTAGCCAGGGAAAGTGAGCTAATGCTGAGCTCTGAGGGTGGAGAACAGCCCTTTGAATGGGTGGACTTTTCGGGGGGCATTTATCTATTCAGTACACAAAGCTGTAGGTAGACCTGGCCGCTTTGTCATAAGCACTGTGGGGGAAGGCTGTTTTTCATGAGCTCGGACTGTATAGAGAATTCAGAGCTCAGGTTTTAGTTCAGTGAAGTGGTGGGAGGCAGAGGGACAGCGAAACCACCAGCTCAGACTCAGACTTGTCCTGTCTTTGGTCAGCACAGGATGCTGGAGTGTCACCTAATGGGGGGGTTCTGTGTGATTTCAGAATTAATCTTGACATTATACGGATGGAGTCCAGCACCAATTTAAAGAAGTTGCTGGAGCTTCAGCAAAAAGTCTTATCATCAAACGATGGTGTGAAACAACAGTATGAGAAACCTATCCAGGTCAGTAACAGAGCTCCCTCATATCTCCCCCATTACACACACAGAGACAGTGCGCAGTACATACACAGCTGAGGAGGCTCATGAGAGGGTGTAAAATCATAGAATCATAGAATGGTTTGGGTTGGAAAGGACCTTAAATATCATCTAGTTCCAACCCCCTGCCATGGTCAGGGACACTGCCCATGAAAAATATTGCCACAAGACACGCTCTCAGATCTGGAAATAGGCTGTGATGCCACACAACCCATGAGTGATTAATTGCCACTTCCATCCCAAACCTAGATATCTTGGTGAGGCCTTTTCTTGAGGCCCCTGCCCCAACTGCTCTCTCCACTCTGTTGTGTGACTACTCACTTGTGAGATGTAGATGTTCACCCTCTGTGTGGATCACCAGAGTAAAGCCTTTCTCTTGGGATTAAGCTTTGCACTGAGCTTTCCATGTCTTGCTCAAGCCACCCCTGTAAACTGGCACAGCAGAGTCACCAGGAGCAAAGATCATCTGCAAATCTTAGTTTCTTCCCACCTTATAAGCTCTGCTGCAGTTAAAAGTCAGGGCCCAGGGTCCTGCTCCAAGCTCTTATGTTGATATCCTTTTTTATTTAAGTGCACTTCACTCATCGTCGTCTGGATGGTGTTTTATTGTGTATATCAAATGCGTTTCAGGATAGCATTGATGCCTCCAGAAAGCTGGAAGAAGAATTTGAAACCATTGAAAGGAAGAGAGAAGAGCTTGCAAATTATCTCTGTGAAGATCCAAGCAAGTTGTCCTTAGAGGACATATTTAGCACCATGAAGACCTTCAGAGATCTCTTCATCCGGGCCCTGAAGGTTGGTGTCTGCATTACATGATGCTGAGCATCCCTAGCACTGGTGTATGCCCCTGCTCTGACAGAGAGGGGTGGGATGGGCACCCAAATCTGGTGGGGGAAGGTGCTGGTTATGGCCTCCTCCTTTCAGCACATGGCATGAGGTCAACTGGGAAGCGATGGCTGATCCCTGTTCCACTCATGCAGTAGTGGTGCTCCTGGCCTGGCCCACACCCTGGTGATTTATGATTTTCGTGCAGCTTTAGCTGCTGGGTCACAAAGATGCTTTGGAATGAATTGTGTAAGTTTTAGAGGAAGGGGCGTATAAAACTTAACGCTTTGCTCCGACAGGCTCAGGACGGGGATGTACAGTGAAAAAGCCACCAGTTTGGAGGAAATTGTGGCTTCACTGCCTTCCACTTTTGCCTCAGCTAGAGAGCAGGCAGGTCTGCACGCTGGTAGGTGGCTGTGTTGGGCAGATCACCACGGCCACCTCCTGCTGGGATTGGCAGAGTTCTGGCTAAGCCAGTGGTCTCCCTGTCACCCTCTTGGCATGACAGACCTGACTCCCCATGCCCGTTTTAGTTCTTGCACAGGATAAGGCCAGAATTGATCTTCCTGCTTCGCAACCATCTGCAGATCATCTTCATCGGCTTTTCTAGCAGACATTTAGCCAACCTTCTCATGCCCCTGTTACCTCACCACAGGAAAACAAGGACAGAAAGGAGCAAGCTGCCAAAGCAGAGAAGAGGAGGAAACAGCTGGAAGAGGAAGAGGCGAAGAGGCAGAAGGGCGAAAATGGAAAAGTCAGTGAGTATCTGAAAGGGCTTCAAAAAAGAGAGATGGAGCTGACAGGAGCTCTTTGCTGGTCCTTTAATGGACCAGTGACGGTAATTTATTCTGTGGGTTTCCAGGTGCCGGCTGACTAAAGGCTGTTAGGTGTCTTATAGCCATAGCTATGAATTGACTTTTCACATTTGACTCTGGGCAGAGAAGTTAATTTTAGGTTTGCTGACTGAACAGCAGAGAAAAAAAAAATCAAATTGAAACATTCCAGTTAACTTTTTCAGTTTCTAAACATAACTTTTGAATCCCAAATCTAACAAGAAACGTTTGACTTCTCCCTCCCCACAAAATCCCCATCTACACTTGAATAGTTTGTCTTTTGTCTGACATCCCAAAAATCTTGCAGATAATTTAAATCTGCCTTTCTCGGGATGAAAACGAAAGGCACAACTGAAAAGTACAATTGGAAGAAGCTGAGAGAAAAGAAAAATCAAGATTATTTTCCCTCCATCCCTGCCCCCTCCCCCCAAAACGGCCCCCACCTACACGGATAGCAAGCAGGAGGTGTTTCAAGGTCATGGTACAACCAGGCACAAGTCCAGGCAGAGCTGGTGCCAATGGTGCCAGCCTGTAGAGCCCAGACTTTGAGGTAAACCCTTTGACTTCATGCAGGACATCCTGCTGTGGGGCCACAGAGCACGGGCTGCTCCCAGCCCTGACATCGGTGCCTTGCTTTTGCCCGGTGGTTGCTTGTACCAGGGCAGCGGTACGAGCCCCAAGCAACAGCATCACTGCAAAGTGTCCTTCTGCCCCACCTCGTGGGCAGATTTAACACCCGTCTCTCTCTCTATCCCAGTTAAGAAGGGGGTGGTGAAGCAGGAGGAGGTGTGCGTCATCGATGCACTGCTGGCTGACATAAGGAAAGGGTTCACGCTGAGAAAGACAAAGAACAGACATGAGTTGGATGCAATTCCTAAAACCTTGCCTGCAGAGAGCCCGGAGGAGACCCAGTCTGGTAAGGACACAGACCCAGCTGTAACTGCAGCTATTCATGCCCATCTGCCTCTGAGCCTGAGCCAAGCACAGAAGCAAGAAGCCTTCGTGTTTGCATTTGGGGCATTTTATTTCAGGAGCCTTTGCAGCCAGTAGCGTGAAGAGGAACAGAAAAGCCTGAGCTTTTGCCATCCAGATCTGCCCCAAAATTAGGAGCAGTTTGGAGCAGCATGGCCTTGCACCCATGCTGATAAAGCCCCTGAGAGGCACAGCCCGTGGGTCAGCCATCGTACCGTGCTGATGGAGCACTGGTGTCCTCCCCTCTCTGTGCTATCAAGTCTCAGTAGCACAGCTTGTCACTGCCTTGGAGACTGCTGTGCCCTGTCTTAGTCTACATTTGGAACTCTAAAGAAGCCCTTAAAAATGATTAGAAAACCCTATTTGCAGAAGGACCCAAGTCCTTTAGGTGCTTTTTAGGAGGTGCTCATGGGTTTAGCTTTTCTTTGGTCTGTTGACCTTGGTGTCAGCGCACGTTAGATAAGTCCAAGGACATTGGCCTACCATAGAGCCTGGCTTGTGCACTGTGGCTCTCCTAAACCTGTGTTGCAAAGGCAGGATTAGGCTGGCTGAGGAGCAGTTCTGAAGTCCTCGTGCAGCCAAGCCAGCAGTCCCAGCTGGTTCAGAACCTCACAGGGTGGTTCCCTCTTCCTGCGGTCGGCTTCCAGGCACCCCTGTGAGTCCAGGGGCTTCCATGGAAATCAGGCAGTTGGCATCAAAGACACAGAAACAACTGCTGAAAACAGAGCAGGGGCTTTGTGGAGCTGGAGCCTTGGGAGTCCAGCTGGAGTGACCACATGGGGTGTAAGGAGGGGAGGTATAGGGAGGGTGAGATGGTGCTGCCTGCATAGCTGCTTGAGGGTCTGTGCACCTTCCACAGGCAACTGCTGGCCTGTAACATCTCCCAGTGTCAGAAACACCTTGGTTGATGACAGGTGCAACTCTGCAGCTGTTGCTGATTTCATGTTTTTTGTTTAAAGGAAAGAGCATGAAGGATCCACAAGCAGCAGGAAAGCAGATTGATGATAAGACCAAGCAAAACAACAATGGTCATCCCTCAGAAAGCACCTCTTCTTCAACCACTGCCCTGATGGAGATGGGTGGAGATGTTACAAATGCCCCAGCTTCAAACCAGGTGTTATTTAAAACCAATGCTGGAGGAAATTTGCCACCAGAGTCCCAGACGGAAAGCCCCTTGGTAAGCTTGGTGGAAGCTGATGGGGCCAGTGACCCCATGCCGGGCGCCGGGGTGGAGCAGGCAGGGATCTGGACAAGCCTCCAGCCGAGAACAACAAGCGGCTCCGTTGCTTTCTCTGCTGCTAACATAGGCACAGGGATAAGATTTGCAAGCCTCAGTTCGGGCACTGCTCTGAGAGACCAACTCAATGGATCCATCTCAGAAGGCCAGGACAAGGAATGCCCAGCTGATGGCTCGGAGAGCTACAGCCTGGCACAGGAACCAGAAACCCGGCCGAGCGAGACCAGAGTCGACCCCAGCAGTGCTCAGGCCGCTCCCTGTGATGAGGCTCATCGGGCGGAGTCAAAAGAGATGGCAAAGGAAAATGAAGACCCTGGTACAGACTCGCTGTTGGACACCTCTCAAGAGAAGTCGTTCTCGGAGGAGCCAGCCACCGACTCCTCTTGTTCGGCAGCGCTCCCGCCGGGGCAAGCCCACATGGACAGGGAAAAGCAGAGACCATCTGGGAAACGGAGGAAGAAGAAGAGGCACAGCAAAAGCTACTCAGGTAGCCTATTTCATATGTAGCCCTCGGGAACTGAGTTAAACTGGGGAGGCTTCCTTATATGTTTGTATATGTCTGTTGCCCTCCACTTTGAGGTCCGATGCCCCCTGCCCCTAGAGCCACGCTGTTATTTTTTTAAACCTGAAGGAGGCTGAAAAAAAAAACAACAAGCATTGTTCATTGTCTTGACATTTTTAAGTAGTTTATAAAGGGGTAATGATGAATCAATAATTAAAAAGCCCATTACACTTAGGCAGTAAAGATGGCAATAAGCACATCTGTCAAGTGTGCTAAAGACAGCTACAAGGCACGGTTATGTGCAAACAAGAGCTCCATTACGCTCCAGAGCAGTGATTAAGAGCAGTTAATACTGGGTACTTAATCAGCAATCACCCCCTCTCCACTGCTTATAAACACATAAAACCAGCAACAATAGTGCTGCCGTAGGGTTGTTTGGTTTCTCCTCTCCTAAGCCGAGCTGCAAGAGCACTTTGCCTGCAGTGACTTGACAGCCTGCCCCAGGGGTACTTCGGGGGCTCCCGAACATCAGGCCCTCCAGCCGTCCCTGCAGAGTGAGGGAAGAAAGTCAGCAAATAAAAAAGAGCATCTTGCTGATGCTTCTGCGAAGGGTCGTATTTGTCCGGCCAAATCGGTCCCTCGCACTGGGGTGTGCCAGGAGAGAGCTCAGCGGCCGGAGGCAGGGAGCCACCCAGGTCTCCGCCTCATGGTGAGCATCCACAGCTGGTGCCAGACCTGAGAAGTGTGTGCAAGTCCCTCAGGATCTACCGAGCTGAAGCCACCCTTGGGTGGATACTTAAATCCCAAATTAGAGGTGACTCACAGGGAAGACACATAGGTCTGTCAGCCTTTGGAAAGGTGCAATATACTGTCCAAAGCCTGTTCCCTGCAAGATTCTGGGGTCAAGCAAATGAAATGAAATGACAGGAAAGTGGTGGAAGTCTCTTTTTATAAATGTTTAATGTTTTCCCCTCCAAGGAAGGTGGAGGAGAAAGGAAAGGAGGGTTTGAATACCCACTGCTGAGAAAGACGGCACAGGGTGAGCATCTGCCACAGAGGCCCTTACCCTTATGATACTGGCATGCCCTGGGGCCACAGTTATTTATGTTTTTAAACATGCCACCTTCCCCTAGGGAAAAAGCAAGCTGCAAACCAGAAGTGGTTTCCCAGAGCAGAGGTTCCCAAACTTGCTTCCTGGGAAGCCGCAGGAGGAGCTGCAGCAACAGGAGCACCCCACTCTCCCAGCCGTGGCGATGCTTTCCCAACATCTGAAATTAGTATTTCTGGCTTAAGGAATTTACACCACACCACCACCCCCCCAAATGATCCCCCCTGGGCATCCAGGGGTGGCATCTTAGGAACCTCTCTCCTCCTACACAATGTTTACATCGTAAAAAGTTCCCTGTTGTTACATTTGCCTTGCCATGATCCGATATATTTAGTGTCTCTCTTTTGTTTAAAAGCAGAGGTTGAGGCTGATACTGGAGATAATAAAACAAAAAAAGGTTGTGTGGTACAATGAGGTATGTAAACTCGCAAAGGTGTTTTTATGTGAACTAACCACAGCACTGGGACTATACAGACCTAATCAGTATTCAGCATATCAGCTAAGCTTTTCGTCTTTGTGTCTAATCACAAATACATGTAAAATAAATTTGTTACTCTGATTTTTACTCTCCAGGGCGTTGATCTTGCATTGAGTGGAGTCAGTGCTGATCTCCCCTCGACGCAGGATCACAACCCACATGTCTGTCATTTGTGTCAACAGCCAAACTGCCTTTCCCTGCGGATAATTAAAAGTCACTGTTCTAACCAAGTGAATCCAGCTTCATCTGATAAACAGAGTCTTTGCTTTGATCCCATTATTTTCTCAAAAACTGTAAAAATGCAATTTCAGTACCTACCTCCTGCAAAGAACAATATTTGGTTTACTGGTGGGTAGCCACTTCTTATAGCACCGTTAGGTGTCTGGACAAGGGAATAAAACATTGCACCCGGGGAGAAGTACTAGTTGGAGCAAAATACCAGCTCCAAGTCAAAGCCAAATTCAATCCCAGAGCTGACACAGCGTAGTCTGTTGGAGCAGACAGACCGTGTGTACATCTTCTGCGCATTCATGCAGCTTTCTGGGATGGGGGCGGGGGGATATAATTTGGCTTTTGTCCTCCCAAAACATAATGCAGGTAAACCCAGTTTCTGGTGAAATTGTGTACCAGGTTCCCTGCATCTTTCACTGATGCTGGCAATGTACATTTGGCCCTCAAAAGAAAGCTTAAGGAGTTTCAGGATGAGACTTTGATTTGCAAAACTTTGCCTGTTTTTACAGCAAGTGGAAAGAAAAGCATGAAAAAGAACCAACCAAAACACCCACTGTACTGAAATTGCATAGTTACGCATTGTCCTTTCCGTGCTGATGAGCATCTCTCATGAACTGAATCAATAATGTCAAATCTCTCTCTGTCTCGTTTCCCGAAAGGAATGTATTTATCCTCCAGCATCCCCCTTGCCTGGGGCTGGGAGCCCGGCTGGGAGCTCAGCTCCTGTGCAGCCCGGCAGCCCAGGCCCCTGGCGTGGTGGAACAGAGGAATCTCTGAGGGATTGCTCCGTGAGGTTGCTTTTGTTCCAGCACCTGAAGTGTCACTGCTAGCAAGAGAGAGTGAGAGATAAATTGGGTAATTACAGTCCTGGCTGCTCCTGTGCCCCTCTTGGCCCTTTCCATGCTGCACCGCAGGACTACAAGTGGAAAAGGGAAGTAGCTCTGTTGGTTTAAAAATCATAAGGAAGATTTACAGCAAGAGCAGAAAAAGTAGCAGCAGGGCACAGGTAAGAATGACAGGACCAGTGGTCGTGCTGCAGAGGGAAGGCAGCTGAAACCAGGAGTTAAGTGTAACTCAGATTATGTGTGTTTTAAGCACAGGTATTCCAGCAGGCAGGCTTAAAAAAAAGTTGTATTTGAAAAAATTAGAGACACAGACTGCTTTGAATTCTTATTAGAAGATGTAGGAAAGCAACACAGAGGAACACATGGAAGAACGGTACCTTTCTGAAGTCGGGCAGGAGTCTCGGTGCCTGGCACAGCCGCATCGCCCCGGCAGCACCCGGCTGTGCTTCAGTGCTGGGAGGGCAGAGATGAGCTGCACCTTGAAACCCACCGTTCTCTTTTTCCTCTGCTCCCATCTTTATGTCACTTGGCAAGGTTAGCGGAAACAAAACCCCATTTGCTTCTCTTAGTTTCCAGCCACCATGCTTCCTCACCTGAAGGCAGCTCAAGGCTGTCCCTCTTGATGCGACAGCCTCAGCAAGCCTCGAGTGCTCCCCATCAAACAGGTGGGAGAGCCCCGTGAAAGAAGTTAAATATTTTTTCCCAGGATGTTCCACCTGATTATTCTTTTCTTTGTTCAGAGAGATCACCTTTTATTTTTTGGCCCAAGTGCACATGAGCTTCTGTAACAGCAGCACAGTGAGGGCAGGATCTGGTCTTCCAGGAACAGCCTGTGACTCTGAAATAATATTTCAGAGCAGTAAAAGGGCTGCTGTGATCAGCTGCTCAGCTCTTGCCTCACCTTGACGGTAACTTGTTATGCAACCGTTTCTGTATTCATGTCAATATTCTTTAAAAGTCAGCTTTTGCACCCAAAGATTGGTATCCCACAGAAATGGTTTAGCTGGTTTTCCTGTGGAATCGAGGCACTGATGGTCACGCTGTGTTCGTGTGCGCCCTGGTGACGTCTGAACTCATTTCCAGCCCAATCTGAAAGGGGCTTGGAGAAGGACCATTTAACAAAAGCTGACAGTCAGACAGCGGAGGGACTGTACAAACGCCTGGACTCAGGGGAGGTGCTTGTCTGAGTTCCCTTGTCTTAGACGCTACAGAATCACCGCAGACAAACGTTCACGTCTGTTTGCCTCTCTCTTTTTCCTCTCCTCCCATCTTTACGCCACTTGGAAAAGTTAGGGGAAACAAAAGCCTTGAAAGCACAAGTCCATAAGCAAGCAGGCTTTGGCAATTTCCCTGCTCACAAATCTACTTGATTTATTCCCTAGAAAATAAAAGAACAAACCAAACCTGGAGCATAGGTCAGTGCTTGAAGACTGCAGCCTGGAGAGGAGGGAAGGAAGGGGAAGGGGGGGTGCACGTCATCAGCCTCCCCCTGGCAGCAGGGCTTGACACTCAAGGTTTCCCTTTTTTTTTTTTAATTGTTTTCCTTTAATTCTAGAGAAGCAGTTGCTTCACCTCCACTTCTGCAGACTCCGTGTTGTCTGTGGGCACTTTTCTAATGGACCATGAGAATGTAACCGAGCTAACGCTTGTCTTCCTCTATGGTGTTTGCCTTCATATCTGTCATTAGAAATGGTATTTGCTTTGGTTATGGAGTGGGACAGACTCTTAAAAATGACAGCGTGCTGCCCCACCCCTGAGAGTCCTGGTAAATCCTGTAGATTTAGTAAGTTCAGCAGTTTAATACCTAGAAGCATATTCCAGTATTCTGCTTGGCAAACACAAGACTCACGTTGTTGGACTGAACTAACATCCAGCTTAAAAGCAAAGCTGCCCAAACTCTTGAACATCAGGATCAGTTCTGGCAACATGAGTTTTTTATGAAGTACATAAAGATTTAGCTCTATCTGTTTTTAGGTTATCTGAAACTGTTTTCCCTAGTAGCACCCCAACCATTAGATACACACAGGTGCAAAACCACACCGCTTTTGTTTTGTAGCTGCAAATAGTTTGCATTTCCCCCTCCTCCTGCAGGTGCCACAGCAAGGCAGAAGAAATAATGGAGACCCAGCGAGCTGCTCGCGCGTCCCCGGAGTGCTGCCAGCTCCTCGGAAGCCAGGTTCTGCATCGCTGCAACGCCGCCGTGGTCACCTCAGCCCCGCCGGGACACATCGCTTCTGCTCGCGCAGCCTTTCACTCCCTTCCCCAAGACCCAAGGAGCCTCTCCGGAGACTTTGGCACCCTCGGCCTGTGCCTTATGCCAGGG